ATATATCACTAGATTCTGGTGATTTATCACTAGATTTATTACTAGATTATGGTGATATATCACTAGATGCTGGTGATTTATTACTAGATTCTGGTGATTTATTACTAGATTCTGGTGATTTATTACTAAATTCTGGTGATTAATCACTAGATTCTGGTGATTTATTACTAGATTCTGGTGATTTTTTACTAAATTCTGGTGATTTATCACTAGATTCTGGTGATATATTACTAGATTCTGGTGATTTATCACTAGATTCTGGTGATTTGTTACTAGGTTCTGGTGATATATTACTAGATTCTGGTGATTTATTACTAGATTCTGGTGATATATCACTAGATTCTGGTTATTTATCACTAGATTTATTACTAGATTCTGGTGATATATCACTAGATTCTGGTGATTTATTACTAGATTCTGGTGATTTATTACTAGATTCTGGTGATTTATTACTAAATTCTGGTGATTTATCACTAGATTCTGGTGATTTATTACTAAATTCTGGTGATTTATCACTAAATTCTGGTGATTTATCACTAGATTCTGGTTATATATCACTAGATTCTGGTGATTTATTACTAAATTCTGGTGATTTATCACTAGATTCTGGTGATTTATTACTAAATTCTGGTGATTTATTACTAGATTCTGGTGATTTATTACTAAATTCTGGTGATTTATTACTAGATTCTGGTGATTTATTACTAAATTCTGGTGATTTATTACTAGATTCTGGTGATTTATTACTAAATTCTGGTGATTTATCACTAGATTCTGGTGATTTATTACTAAATTCTGGTGATTTATCACTAGATTCTGGTGATTTATTACTAAATTCTGGTGATTTATCACTAGATTCTGGTGATTTTTTACTAAATTCTGGTGATTTATTACTAGATTCTGGTGATTTATTACTAGATTCTGGTGATTTATTACTAGATTCTGGTGATTTATCACTAGATTTTGGTGGTTTATTACTAGAATCTGGTGATTTTTTACTAAATTCTGGTGATTTATCACTAGATTCTGGTGATTTATTACTAGATTCTGGTGATTTTTTACTAAATTCTGGTGATTTATCACTAGATTCTGGTTATATATCACTAGATTCTGGTGATTTTTTACTAAATTCTGGTGATTTATCACTAGATTCTGGTGATATATTACTAGATTCTGGTGATATATCACTAGATTCTGGTGATATATCACTAGATTCTGGTTATTTATCACTAGATTCTGGTTATTTATCACTAGATTCTGGTGATTTATTACTACATTCTGGTGATATATCACTAGATTCTGGTGATTTATCACTAGATTTATTACTAGATTCTGGTGATATATCACTAGATTCTGGTGATATATCACTAGATTCTGGTGATTTATTACTAGATTCTGGTGATTTATTACTAAATTCTGGTGATTTATCACTAGATTCTGGTGATTTATTACTAAATTCTGGTGATTTATCACTAAATTCTGGTGATTTATCACTAGATTCTGGTTATATATCACTAGATTCTGGTGATTTATTACTAAATTCTGGTGATTTATCACTAGATTCTGGTGATTTATTACTAAATTCTGGTGATTTATTACTAAATTCTGGTGATTTATTACTAAATTCTGGTGATTTATTACTAGATTCTGGTGATTTATTACTAAATTCTGGTGATTTATTACTAGATTCTGGTGATTTATTACTAAATTCTGGTGATTTATCACTAGATTCTGGTGATTTATTACTAAATTCTGGTGATTTATCACTAGATTCTGGTGATTTTTTACTAAATTCTGGTGATTTAATTCTAGATTCTGGTGATTTATTACTAGATTCTGGTGATTTATTACTAGATTCTGGTGATTTATCACTAGATTTTGGTGGTTTATTACTAGAATCTGGTGATTTTTTACTAAATTCTGGTGATTTATCACTAGATTCTGGTGATTTATTACTAGATTCTGGTGATTTTTTACTAAATTCTGGTGATTTATCACTAGATTCTGGTTATATATCACTAGATTCTGGTGATTTTTTACTAAATTCTGGTGATTTATCACTAGATTCTGGTGATATATTACTAGATTCTGGAGATTTATCACTAGATTTTGGTGGTTTATCACTAGATTCTGGTGATTTGTTACTAGGTTCTGGAGATATATCACTAGATTCTGGAGATATATCACTAGATTCTGGTGATTTGTTACTAGATTCTGGTGATTTTTTACTAAATTCTGGTGATTTATCACTAGATTCTGGTGATTTATTACTAGATTCTGGTGATTTTTTACTAAATTCTGGTGATTTATTACTAGATTCTGGTGATTTTTTACTAAATTCTGGTGATTTATCACTAGATTCTGGTTATATATCACTAGATTCTGGTGATATATTACTAGATTCTGGTGATTTGTTGCTAGATTCTGGTGATTTTTTACTAAATTCTGGTGATTTATCACTAGATTCTGGTGATATATTACTAGATTCTGGTGACGATATATTACTAGATTCTGGTAATAATCTGGTACAATAAAAGGCCATCAATTAAAGCGTTCGGTAAACTCAGAACGGTAATTCAAATTATTCATTGAACCCAAATCTAAAAAAAAAAATAAAAAAAACACTTTGATGTAATTGTTTTGCATATTATTTATTCTATATAAAGAAACAACTTAAAACAACTAGATTGAATTAGAAATTACCAACTATAAGTGTTTCGTGTACATTTAAAGATTTAGAAAACATTTCGACTGACATCACTTTGAACTATTCAAAAGATTACTCCAACGATTAATATGTATACATATTACAATAAGATTCGGATATTAGAAAAAACTCTATTCACTCATGCAATCTAACAGCTCACTAATTAAAAATTCTTAAATACACTATTTTGATTTCAATTCCGAACAGGCTCAAGCCACTTTTAAGCGTTAAGGCGATTAAAAATGGACTTTTCTTAAAAGTACAGCTCCTGAGATCGATTGATAATTATTTAAAAATATGTAAATTTAGAATTCAGTGGCAAAGAGATACTTCAAATATTTGAATGATTTTCGATCAATTCAATTGTACTAACTGGAATGTTGAAATTTTAAACTAAGGCACTATTTTTAATGACCCGCATTTAGCGCCTCTGTTTAACTTTAGAGTAAGTCTAAAATCACGTCTCGAGTCCCTAGTTACTCCATAACAACCAATGTAAATCTATCAAGTTAAAATCGCGACTTTAGAGATACTCTAAAGTTAAACAGAGCCGCTGAATACGAGCCAATAAGTGTAAGACTTGTGTTCATTTGACTTTGCCAAATTTAATTAAACCCAATCAACTAAAAATGAAATATAAAAAAAAATTAAATGGAAATGTAATTTTTCTTACTGTTCCAGCCAATAACCACTTGGAAATTAGCATTAGAATTGATCAATAATATATTTGAAATGACCCCGTTTTGAATGAACCTGTTCGAAAGTGTGCTAATACAACAACTATAATAATTATATAAAGCTATCTAAAACGTTATTTTTTTAAGCAGAATTTTGGTGAAATAGTGGTATAAAAATATTTCAAAAATACGCTTTTTACATTCCAAAATCATTTAGTACGGCGATAAAAGGCTTGATTAACGGATGTTTCATTCGTAAATCAAGTCTCTCGTCTTGATTTGTTATGCCCATTGACAGTACTATAATTAAATATTGATTAAATATAAACAACAATGTTGGTGCAGATACGCGCTATTTCTATTGTAGTAGGCTTTCTGTTATTTAAAAAATTAAATCCAGTACCTATGCTGTGCTGTAATAATTAAATAACTGTCTTCTGAGTTTACAACTTTCAACACACTTCAAAAATCGGAACAATTACTAATACATTTTCTTCTACAATATTTATAAGCTATAGACTAGAAGAGTTTTAAATAACACCAAATATTATGGTGAACCAATGCAACATTTAAAAAAAAAACACACTTGAAACGTTTATTAACACTTAAAAAATCGTTTTCAAAATTTTTAGCCTTTCTTAATATTAAAAATGTCGAATAATTAAGGAATATCGTAGTAAAAATGTACTGATTAGAGATGAATAATTATTCAGAAAATGAGTGTTCAGCTAGATATTCAAAACGCGGTTTATTATTTATATTGTCATTTAATTATATTTTCAATGCTGTAGTTTTCCAACTCGCGAGTTGGGACACATACCTATTTATTACAACATCTAAATATGAAAAAAAAAAAGTGACCGAATTATGAAAGAATAATTCTTATTATTAGATTTTAAACAAAATTAAACATTAAACATGAATTAGTATATATGACGAATATAAATAAAAAATTCCGTCACACTAAAATTTTTCAAACATGTTCGCTCTATCTAATGGCACTGATATTATAATGTTAGTGTAAAAATGTTCTATTAAACATAAAAAGGTGTTTCAACTGCATATCAATTATATATTTTTTTTAAATTCATATTAAAGTACATATCATTTATCATAAGATTCATAAGGATCGTTTGTCGACACAAAAAATGAATTTAAATTCAAATAAACGGCTATATTTCCATTCGAACAATCCCAACTTCGTATGTATAATACACAAATTATTTACAATTCATATCAAGAATTAAATTCTAATTGTATAAGTTTGGAACACGCGGGTAATTCATAATTTGCTGTAATTCACCGTAGGAATATGTAATATTATTTTTTATACATATTATGTATATATATTCTCCATGAGTAAAGAGAAACGAGCAAAGGCCATAATAGAAAAAAAAAAATCGGGACACCAAACGATGTGCTTTTTACAGGAATTTCAGAGTATTAGGACCAATAAAAATATGTTCACCTATCAAGATTGCGTAATAAAATGATATATAAAATAATTCGAAATTACTAGGAGCGAAATTGGTAGATAATATTATCTATAGAAGTCTTAACTTTAAGCGTTTATATTAATTTATACTGCTTAAAGCGAATGTTTCAAATTGTTATGTTTCATTTAAAAATTTGACAAAATATTACTGTGGAATTAACTACCACATATAATGACTTATTATAATAGCATAATGGTGCATTTAATTATTTTTTAAGTACGTTGAATTTAATATTAACTTTTTCATTTAGTATAAGAGGTATATTTTTAAGAGGCTCGATAATTCCAAAGTAATGAACATGTGATTTAACAGGTGTTTACATCACAGTCTAAATTTTAAGATAATGAGCTGTGCTGTGTTGTTCTTTTCGATAACACTGCACAAATTCAAAAAAAAAATTAAAATAATAAAAAGTGAATAAATAAATTAGATAAATCTAATATAAATATCACTCATCTAAGAAATCTTTCAAAAGAGTTGTACGTCGCTTCTCAGCAATATCCATTTGGTTTTCCAAATCTCCCCGATTTGTAGTTTCAGCCCTTTCGATTTTCCACGAAAGATTTTCAATTTCAGCTTCCAGCTGAGCTTGTTGATATTCAAACAGCTCCTTTCTCGATCCACCTTCCATATAGTATGCATATGGATATGTATATTGTAAAGTGTATCGACATTTAGCCAGTAGATTTGCTGCAGTAAATAAATATTGCCAGTCAATCCATGTTCCCAATCCTGACATAACATTTTGGTTAATACGTGACCTGAGCTTCTCCAATGTCTGTTCTTCTAATTTCAGTGATTTTGAATGATTTTCCCATCTCTCGTAATAATGTAGGTACTTTTTTAATGCTTCACGGGCCTGTTGAAAAAAAAAAAAGTTGGGAAAAAGAAAAAAAAATCGATTATTCCTTAAAATAATGATGAATATGAAATTTATCTATAACAACTCACCTGAGCATGAACGGATTCATGAGCAATATTTGGATTTTCTCTGTATCGAGAGCATTCGTAATATTCAGACCCATGAGATTTCCAGTCGCCTAAACACATCCAACAAAAATCGTGTTTACAATTGTAACATTGCATGTGATTACAACCGCCATTTTTCTCAATACAAATGTGGCACTTGGGACAGTCTTTAGTATGTGCACTTATATAATTTGCAGTCTCACTGTCATCTGCACATTTCGTCAACCACTTTTTGATTACATGACAATCGGTAGGCGCATGATAATCACATCCACATCTACAAAAAATAAATAAATAAAAAAAAATGAAAATACAATTTAACACATAAAAATGACAATCGGTAACGGGACTTACTTGAAGCAAAATATAGTTTTGCATTGATTGCATGTAGCCCTTTTAGCCTTAATATCCTTACTATGAACCACAATAGAACAATTTGGACCTGGACAGAATCGCAAAAATGGATGTGATTTAACGTAATCTTGAAAAGAAAACTGTTGATATTTTTCTCTCATATTGGGACGTTGTAAATGTTTTAGTACGAAATCTTCTGGAGCTAAGACAATGCAATCTCTTGCCATACATGCTATGCCAGTAGATATACCCTAAAAATATTATTAAAAATTTTAATAAATATAATATTCTTCCCATTAATACACAACATATACATATTCAGATCTATTTTTTCTAGTATAGAGGTTAATTAACCTACCTGGTTAATTTGTACTTCGAAATGCATGGTCCAGCATTCATTACAAAACATATGTGCACATGACAGATTATGAAAATTTTCAAAGTGCTGTAAAGTAGCGCATACTGAACAATAAACGTACGACGATAATCTTGTCAAAAGTAAACTACTAGGTGGTGCATCTGGTTCGATTCTCGCTGCGATTAAAGTCTGAGTGGAGTTGTCGTTAAATTTTTTCGTTACTTCGTTTATATTCCATTGATTGCTGTGTAAAAGAACCTGAAAAAATCAAAACAAGTTATTTCGACAGACGTAAATGCATACGAGTACGATAAATTAACACATACTTTTGCCAATGAAGGAGGAATTTGTAAATTATTACTCAAAGTTTCAACAGTTTCATTGAGTAACCTGTCAACTTGCTCCTCTAGAAGACAATTATACTCAAAATATTCTGGATCAATGTTCCTAGGATCTATCTGTTCTATATCAATATCATCATTCGAGTTGTAATAATCGTAAAATTCATTATCTGAACATTCCATATCAGATTCACCACCCTGAGAAGTAGTCATTGATTCTTCCATATTTCTGTTAATTTAATATAATACAGAGCCATTAATATGTATTATTAAAAAAACTGAACAACATTTTTCATCGATTAAAAAGCCTGCATTAATCACAAACAAAGCAACACTTTTTTCCTGAAATTGATCACCTGTTTACATATGTCAAAATTTCGTCGCCATTTGCATTCTACTTCTATACTTCACTTCACCCTTTTATTCTTCTTTTTTTCTTCTTTTTTTTTGCTTAGTTGTTTTCAACTTTTCTAAAACATGGAATAGGTGCTTTTTATTATGTTTTCTTGTATAATAATTTATTGTTACTTATTGTTTAATTAATTAAGTATGTTTATATTTATAAGAGAAATTATTAATTTGTCGTATCAAAAATTAATTTGCCTGGTTATTTTTAATGTTGGTAGCAATGACTACAGAACAGGTGACAGATGACAGATTCTTCTTTTTCTATTTTGAGGTCTCAGTTGCTGGAGATATTCGGCCTAGACAGATGACAGATGACAGATGTTGCTATGACATTGACATGTTTTTGAAAAATCGATTTTACGATTTTTGGTGTAGCAGTAGTCATGGTCAGATTAGTCCTCCGTACTAAAATGTGAATTTCTCAATACTATGACAAAAATTTAATAGACAATAAGCCGATAAATCTGAGGTAAGCAATACTGCAAACTAATAAAATGTAATTGGTATTTTGTAAAGCGACATGTTTCAGATAAAAATGGAAAACACAACAAATGGTGACTGCTTGCAATCCAAAGAAAATGTTAGAGTATTTATAAGAATACGGCCTTTAACTAAGAAAGAAACGTCAGAAGGCAATGAAAACGTATTAACTTGTGATTTTAAAGAAAACCTCATTGCCCTCAAGAAAAATGGAGAACACACCAAACCTTTTAAATTCGACCATATATTTGGATCTTCTACTACCCAGGTATATAATAATTATATTAAAATAATTAGATATTAATAATATTCTTAAACAAAGGTTCCTCTATATTCACATTTATATTAGTCAACTGTATTCATATTATTTTCAAGGTCCTACTATTCATTTCTTTCTTTTTTTTTGTATTACAAAACAAATGCATGACGAATAAGGTCAACATTTAATTCGTATAACATTGGGTTTGATTAATAATATGCTTTACACTTCAATTGTTCGGTTAATTTACAAAAAAACATTCACTAAAATATCACAATTTTTAGAATCCAAATATTTGTAAATATTCATTGTTAATGAAATGTGTAACATTTTATATAAAAATGCGTTTGTTTTCAGTTGGAAATGTACAAAATGACGGCTTTTCCTATAGTAGAAAAAGTTCTCGAAGGATACAATGGGACAATATTCGCATACGGTCAAACAGGCACTGGTAAAACATTTACCATGGTCGGAAATCATTTAATTCCCGAGCTCAAAGGAATCGTACCGAATACGTTTTCTCACATTTTCAGTCAAATTTCTCGAGCTAGCGAAGAAAAGTCATTCGTAGTCAAAGCAACTTATTTAGAAATTTATAATGAAGAAGTTAGAGATCTCTTGGCCCAGGATCCGACGAAAAAACTAGCAATTAGAGAAAGAAAAGACATCGGAGTTTACGTTAAAGATCTCATGGGTTTCACTGTAGACTCAATTCAGTCTGTTACAGAATTAATTAATAGAGGAAACAAAAACAGGATAACCAGATCTACCCTAATGAATGACGTCAGCAGTAGATCTCACGCTATTTTCACCATCACCATCGAATCGAGAAATAGAAGAGATAATAAAACTACAGTGGGGAAATTAAATTTAGTTGACTTGGCTGTATGTCGATTTTTAATTAAATTATTTATGGCGAATGCAATTTACTATTAATAATTTAAAATTTCATTTTGTCTATATAGGGTTCTGAAAGAGCTTCGAGAACGCAAGCCACAGGCGAAAGATTAAAAGAAGCCAGTAATATTAACTTGTCCCTTTCTGTTCTTGGAAATGTAATATCGGCTTTAGTAGATGGGAAAAGTACTCACATACCGTATAGAAATTCAAAATTGACCAGACTACTTCAAGATTCACTTGGTGGAAATTCGAAAACGGCAATGGTACGTTTGTTGATACTTATACTATCCATCCAGAAATAATTCAATGTAATATTTATAATGTAATATGTATTTCATAATTAGATTGCAATGATCAGTCCTGCTGACATAGATTATGAAGAAAGCATGTGTACGTTGCGTTACGCTTCCAGAGTTAAATTTATTAAGAATTGTGTTAAAATTAATGTTGAAGAGAAAGGACTAATCGAAGGTTTCGAGCTGGAAATAGCCGAATTGAAAGAAAGGCTTTTGCAATTGAATAATGTGGAACAGAAACGCGAACACAAAAAGAAAGAGAGAGCAGTTAGTGCAGAGGAAAAGGAAAAATCGAAACAAACTAATATGGAATTGGAGAGAACAGAGTAAGTGCAATAAATTTAATTTTTTTTTTTTTTTGTGGGTTGATGTAATAAATGTAATTGTATGTGTGATTTTTTCTCTTTTTTATTTTTTGTAGAAAAATGAAAGAGGAACTGGAAGAAAAAGTGGCCTTAATCCAAAAGAAGATTCTAGTGGGAGGAGAAAATTTGTTGGAAAAAGCACAACAGCAGGCTTTCTTTTTAGAATCTTCAGCAGCTGAATTAGAAGATCTTAACAGAAGCCATCAGCAGTTAGAAGAACAATTGAATAAAAAGGCATTAGAAAAAATTGACGTTGAAGAGCAATATTCTTCATTGCAAGAGGAAGACATAGGGCTTAGTAAAAAACTCAAGAAAATACAAGTATTTATCAAAGAAGCCAAAGAAGAGCACTCTGACAAAGAAAGGGAATACCAAAGAGATTTAGAAGCCCTTTACGATAATAACCGGCTTTTAGTAAGAGAAACACAGCTCTCCAACCTTATTATAGAAAATTACATTCCTCCGGAATATTTGGTAATTATTTTAAAAAGCATTAATTATTTATTGGCTGTGACTGAATCAATTCTATTGTCAGCCCAATAAGAGCTATCTCTGAATATTACTTGACAATCGTTCAGTACAAAGAAATGTACCTATGTAGTTGTAAAATCTTTGAATATCTCTATATATGGTATTGTTATTTTAGAAAAAAATCCAAACCAATATGATATGGAGCAACGACGGACAGGAATATCAAATGAGAGGTGTCGCTTACACGGGTAACAATATGAGAAAACGTTTAAATCCTGGTGTTGAGACAATGTCACAGATAAAATTCGACATGAAACAGCCTTATCACAAGTATCCTGAGAGAAAGAAAGAAAAGCTGAAAGAAAAACGCCAATTACCCAAGAGCTTATCGGCTGCACCAAAATCACGTTAGTAAGTTATTCATTAAACTAATTACCGATTCATTGTTAAACCGACTATGTAAACTTTTCCGAATAAGCAATAACACAATTTCTTTAAACCACACACACACGCACAATTTTTTTTTTTATTATTTATTAAACTGACGTGTTATTATAGTTACTTGTATTCCTAAAGATCGACACATCGTAGAAGATTCATGTTGCTTTATTACTTTGCAAAAAAAACCGCTTTGTTCCTATTGCACCTTCACAATTCGAAGGAATTTTATCAACATGTCGGTTTATTAAATTAATACAATTTTGTTTTGGTTTTTGTTTCCTCTAGTTTTGTGTGGTCTTTGATTATAATAACCTGCCTTAGAAAAAGTTCAGAGAATTGATAAATTTTATTGCATCCTACCATAAATTAAATGATAAATCATCAAAAATTCATTATCATCTAGAACAGTTATATCAATCTTGAATCTAGTAAATCTGTGGAATTACTGATTGCATCAATAATAGATTTTATTATGTGAATATGAATTGTGACAGTGAATTTTGTTAATTTCTTAATTCAGTTCAGTATTACATACACTGTGTATTATTTTCATTGATGGCTGGTGATTGTTTTGTTAATTGTTTAGTAAAATATACATATTGAAAATGTAAAGGGATTTTTAAACGAAGAAAGGTTAATGGAAATTTTAAATTTTCGTAAATTGTTCTTCATTTAAACGGATTTTAGCAATATGTGGAATGTCTAGTCTAAAAAAAATATTTTTTTATATTTTACTAATATTTTTTAATTAGTTTATTTAGCGAAAATGAACATATTTTAATCAACTAATTGCTAATATTTTCGTATTTCATATAAAATACTAATTGTAAGTGGGTATTTTATATTTTAATAAAGAGTATATTTTTAGCATAACTTATGTTGAAAATAGTTGCCAAAGTGATTCTAAGATCTCATAATATTCTTAGAATAAAACAAGTCCGTTCCATTTTTATTTTACATTTATATTTAATGCTCAAATAAGGCATAATTTGAAAGATCTCACTAGAAGTTATCGCAGCTTAATTATTAAAAAAGGAGATTGCAAGCATGATATTTGAGCATTTAATCGCTTATTTCTAGTCGATTTTAATCAATTTAGATTAAATGTTGAGACTGCTTTAAATTGTAGCTTTAGAATATTACTGTTTTTCAAAACTTAAGTTACCTAAAATGGCCAGTATTAAATTGTTGTGATGCATCCCTTTACATGCATTTATGATTATTATTTTTTTTGTTAAATGCTACTCTAATAAATTATAACTAATAAACGTTTATATTCACTCGTATTGTTTTATTTTTTCGTTAAAATGGAAAAGAGGGAAGTAATGAATCAAATAAGAATGTAATATAAAATAATGTATTTTTTGTTACAAGACAACCCGAGTTGAAAAGGTTCTATTTTGTACCTACTTACGTCTAAATTATACAGTTATTTATTTCGTCAAAATATATGAGCATATCTGATACACTTGCACATATCAATTTTGGACATCTCTAATTTTATTTACACACTTTTCATTTGGAAGATGAAAATTTTTGGAAATAAAAAATCGTACGTTATAAGTTATATGCTTATTATAAGTAGTAGGAAATTAATTGACGGCATTCTTTGTACTAAACACATATTTTCTAATAAAAAAAAATGTATGCTATTACATTTCTGAGAAATTTGTATATACAGTTTGAAACTCTTTGTGCCACTTAGGTACTTATATACAAATATTATTTGGATTATATTAATATAATAACAAATTTTTTAGTTAAATAAATAAATGTATCAATTGAATAAAATTTTGCGTTTGAATCGAATTAATTCTTTAATGCAAAGTACAATGCAAATTTGAAAACTTTGAATTAAAGGATTTTTCAAAAATTATTATAGTAGGAGAAGAAAACTTTTAAAAAGGCTCAAAACGAACAATACATAATATAAATATTTTAAATGGTCGATACACATTAACAATTATAAAATATATACACATATATGTAAAAAGTAGATGATATAATTCCAATTTCGAATTCTTTGAAAGAAAATAAGTATTTTTTATTTACAATAGTATAAGTTTATTCAAATCGGAATCGATGTGAATATTTATGTCGTCGACGTGAAACGTTTCTTGGTCGTGCAAGAAAATAATGTTTTTTTTTTTTTCATTTTCAAATTCCCCTATTTTGCTATAGAATATACAAAAATACCCTGTGGTGTGATTGTCAAAAAATCGTATGTTCTGAAATTAGTGAGTATTATTTCTAGCAGAGTATAATTGTACAATACTATCAGAACATCATATATACAGATTGCTTCAAAACAATATCCAAACTTTTTTTCACCCTACCTCACATTAAGAACGTTTGTAGAAAAGGGATTTAATTCATATGACATCTTGTATAATTTAACAAACGAACGAATTTTCTAATATATGCGTATAAAGTAGCCTAAATATTTTCACTATAATTAATTATATTCAGTCTAGCATTTTCTCGCAATATTTTTTCTCCTCATAGTCGAGGACGAATTTGAACAAAAAACGCATCTGGCTGTTTAATGAATCATTGAACAGGCTATGAACAGAAAAATAAACACGTGTCGCCGATCTGCTATTCGTCATTCATCAAACCAATGTGGATAGCTCGTGGGGTGAATTTGTCGTACCCACACTGCTCAAATCTACCGTAACATTGGGCATGCCCGGACTGACGGATCCGCTGGCTTCTCTATGATGTGACATCTTCGTCAGATTTAAGTTATCTCCCAAATTGGGCGGCGTTGTTGTTGCCGGTCGTACGACGTACGGTCCATTGTGTACAGAGGCCAGTTGGTGCCCGAAACTGTGATTGAAGCTGGCATGGGAATGGTTCAATTGCACCAGAGGCGGCGGTGGCGGCGGCGGCGGCGGCGGCAGCGGCGGCGACGAGATGATGCTGTGGAATGAGTTCTGGTGTTGGCTAGTGGTCTCGTGGTGTTGCAACGCCAATTCCTTCACTGCGTTCGTCTTCTCCTTTTGCCAGATGAAAACGTTGTGGACCATCGCACAACCGCAGAATATAATACCCAGGCCTATGAAGACGCTCGTTACAATGGCAGGCGTCGAATGGAACTGGATGAACGTGTACAGTATGATTCCTGCGAAATGAGGAATTCGTTTGTACCTTTACATACCTAGTTACAATTACCTATATTATATAGAGACTTGGATTGGTGAGGTGGTTTACCTGTTAGGAAAACTGGGATCGAAACGAAGAATCCTCCCACTGCGCATACTCTACTAACCGATGATTTTTGTAAATACTTGTTTGTTCTGAAATGTAAAAGAAAATAGCTGGAGTTAGGTGTAGAACAGCTAATCGTTTTTAATAAGTAAAGATAAATCAGTGGCGAGGTCAATAATCTATCTTTTTAATTTTAAAACTTGAGCTCTTTTATTTACATAATTTATGTAAATTAAAAAGTTTTTTTTTCTCATCGCGTATGTGCCTGTTTGTGCAGCGGCGTACTTTTACCATTATGTTTAAATAAATGTAGGTACTTGTATTACTTAGTACTTTTTTTAACTTTAGTTTTGTAAAGATATACATTTCAGTTTTCCTTTCTCAAGGAAACGTTCAAGATTCTCATTCTATCTGCGGTTGTGGTCTGACCCAATGTCTTCTTTAAACGATGTTTATTATTCCAGACTATGTAAATTTATCTTTTCGGTTATTCTGAATAATAAAAGACCAGACTAATGAAGTTTTGAGCAAACATAAATAATAATTGAACGACGATAATTGCAATTTATTAATAACGCATAACTATTTACGACATTTTCCGTTAATTATGAAACGTTTTGTATATAAATGTTGTATTAAAGCAAGCATCTGTTTTATCAAGAGATATTGCGAATATTTAAACTAGGAAAAGAGATTTTCCTGTTACACCTAAGCGTAACGCAGAGCAAACAATTTATGTAGGTAAAGTCGATATTACCGTACGTATAATTTGATACGATATTACATATGTATATCTAAATTTAGCGAATAAATACGTTTTATTTTTCTTGTAAACCGGAAAATTTACATTAATAGAAATTTCAATGGAACATACGGCGCGCGGCGGTTTATTGATTTATGGCTATGAAGAAAAGATTCTAAAATAGCGATTTCATTAACCGTAAATTTAGATTTAGACAAATATACTCTCCGTATCAAATAAAGGATCGAATGTTCGTTTTGATCAAAATAATCATTGAATTATTTTTCTAACCTTAGCTTTAATCGAGTTTACACGTTTTCGAGCATAATGCTTATTCAAATTAATTTTAAATCGAAATGTGGTCCTGAGATAATTAAACAGTTTATGTTTATTTTAGCCGCTAATTGTCGGCTGACCTTCATATGTGTTAAAATGTCTTGACAATTATTTACAATTCTCCGGCAGAGTTCGAATAAAGACACTCGAGAAGGATGGGAAAAAGATTTTCACAATCTCCAGTGTAGGAGCCTTGTTGTCTCTAATAGTGTTTATACAAAGTATGTTAATTAAAAGAAAATTTGATCCTCCATCAGGCCCATTGTAGGTAGGTTTTTTTTTGTAGTAGGTAGATGTAAAATTGCCCGTTTCCTGATCGAGCGGAATGAGCTGTAATTAAGTTTAATACCTATTCAACGGAAATAGTTGGATTATGGGAAGTCTTAAACGTATTCATTCGGTTTAATTCATGGGATAAACCTGATGAGTTATTGGCTGAGCAACAAACTATTTTACACCAGGGCAACCACGTTCGTAGACCCTTCGCTCTATTCTTTGTTCGCGCGATAGAGCGAAATTTTTGTGTAAGAATAAAATTTGTAGTAACTATAAATGCGAGGTTCGTGTATTAAATTGATATCACACGTTTGAAAAATGTAATGCATGCAGTATTTAAATGTTAAACGGTATAAACAACAATTAAAGCAACCTGTTTGTTCCGCTCTAGTAATTTTCTAAAAGTACTCTTTTTTATTTATTTATTTATTACAGATTTTTTTTTGTAATTTTGCATAAACATTAATTGGAAATTAAAATTTTTACTAAGGGTGTCACTAGGTTACATATTTACTTGAAATAAAAATAAATTAGATGAATCTTCCATGAAACTTGGCCAAATGTGACCTCAATATAAGATCAACTTTAAATAATTCATAATCTTTAGAATTTGATCTAAGCAACTAAAACGTTTAAGAATTCACCAGCAATAACAAACAGGTACGTATTCTAATAAAGTGTTATATATATATAGTATTTAATTTACCTGTCGTTTCCTCCATGTGGGCTTTTGACTAATTTAACAGCAAACAAGAATTGTATAGCACATACCAACAGACAGCACAAATTTAGCGATAATGTTAAAGCACAAAGTGCTAAAGTCACCTCGTACACTACAACGTATTCTTCGGCAGTTATCACAGTTAGTTGTTCCGATCTTAACAATTCCCGAATGTCGTTTGCCGTTACCGGTGATATTTTCAACAAGAATATCAAAGAGAGCAAGGCCAAAAGCAAACTGACCAAACACAACAAGCCCAAGCTCACCAGCATCTCCTTGATGCCCACCTCCTTCGACTTGGCGATGAACTTGTTTACCGGACCCTGGTTACGTATCCTGGAGATATTCAATCCGCCGTTCAGCACTTTATTTCCAGGCGATAGTACTGCGTTACTGTACAAGGAATGTTTCGAATTATCGAGATTCGTTGAATGCAAGTGGCTGACGTTCAGAGGATACTGCTGGGAGATCCTGGAGCTGTTCGCATTGGGCGATCTGTACCGATGAGGTCCGGGTTCCATCCGGGACTCCAGGACCATCGAACTGTCCGGCCTGGTACCCCGACTCGAGATACCTCCATTTGTAATGTGTTTCAACATCTTTCAGAACCATTTGTAAGCTGGCGCCGCTGTGGTTACATTGGCCTGGCTTCCACATAGTATTCCAAAAGCATGACTTGTCCGTTTTCTATTTTATTTGGGAGTTTTTTATGTCCACTTTAGTGTGCATTATGAATCCGGACGATCGGGAAGGTCGATGAGTTGTTTCATTTGGTTGTACTTAGAACTGCAATTAAAAAATGCCATTTTAACGTGGGAATAAATGTACAATTTTGATTTGTGAAATCGTTAATGCGCCTACAATTTGCTTTGCTAGCAACCCTTAATTGGCAAAACGTCATTTTTTGCGAACTTTCATTGATGTAAATCGTTTTAATGGTGTATTGTTACATTAGGATTAAACGGCAATTAAATTTTATTACGAAACCGCGAAATAAATGCGTTCATTTAGATTAATTCGAATTTAACAAATTCGCATAATTTTCCACTTTCTATTAGGAACTCGACCTAAACAATGTGTTTTAAAATAATGAATTTATTTACATATTTTTACGATTGAAATCGGTGAGAATCGAGCATTCTCTTAGATCTCCCTGAAATTAGGAAAATTGCTCTGCTGTAAAATTTCGTGACCTCAATGTGTCGCCCCAGCCCCATAACGTAATGTGTTTTTAAAAGAGAGGTATGAATAAACTTATAGGCAGGTGCACAGGAAAGGATAAAAGAAATTCGTTAAATAACAGTTGGTTGGCTTCTACAGTTTATATTTCCATTTTCCCTCTCTTTTCGATTCGATGGGTAATTGCGTGTAGCGACCCAACTAGGAATTTACTCCGGGTGATATTAGATAGAAAGATAGAAAACTTATTCTAATATTAACTACCGTACGGTCAGTTATTCGTTTTATTTCGCCTATTATTGTCCCCGACACTTAACAGTTGCACTGGCTAAATTTATTTATGAATTTAAATTACAACTCTGCATGGTAGCCTTATTGGGTATTAAGTTTCGAATTAGCGGCAAATATTATGAATTCATTTATTTTTTGTTATATTCGCGGAATCAGATTAACGAGTACAAGTTTATTTACGTAGTCAGCGTACTCATGTTCGTTTATTATAATAATTCGTTCTGTTGCTGGGATTAATAAAATATGTAGGTAAACATAAGTCGAAGAAATTAATAATATTTTACAGAATTCTTTTAATAAAATATTAATTTTATATCCATACAAGTACCAGTACGTCTGAATGGATAGTAAATCGAATCTCTATTGAAGAACGAGAAATTTTGAATGGCAAACCCACGCAAGTCGATAAAATATTTCAAATATAACCAAATAGTTGATTAATTAGATTTAAAAAAGCGTCGAATCCTTGAATTTTTACGACACGAAGATAGTATTTCCTATTTATTATTTAAGAATTAATTAAAAAACGAGTTTCGTTGCGGCAAGGAGGTTCTGGTTGGACCAAACTCTAATCGACTAATAAAACATACCATCAGTTGGGTTTTCATTGAAGAATTCGACAAACCCTACGCCCGAATAGAAGGTTATCATGGTACACAGGTAATGCAGCAATTGATTGCCCAGGTAAAAAAAAAATAAACAACATTATGCACCTCGAGATTCTCTGAAGGAGAGTCTGCCTGTATCAGGTAGACGTATTCTACGTGGCTTAAGGTCACAAAATTAAAACTCACATACATACCTTGCAATTTTCGAATTCCTCCACGATACCAAAACAAGTGAGCCAGCCGGCTTTGTGCTTGAACAGGTACCCTTTTTTCGGTGATCAATACGATAGAACGCACTCACTAAACCTTAGTAAGCACTGTACACTATACAAATCGACTAATATTTTTCGTAACGGCACTAAATACCGAACTGGGTCGCCTTTACAACGCGAATGCTGCCTCAACAAGAGCCATTCTGTAATACAGAGGCACCGGAGGATCGGTTCCCACTACTCGCCAGTACTTTTTACTTCTACACAATACGTCAAAAACTTTTTAAACTCACACTTCTTTAGCATTTGTTCCAATCGATATTATGTCACTTGTTCTTCGGTATGCGTATGTGGAAGTTGTTGAACGATTCTTTGGTGTAAAAGGGCTGTAAAAGGTGTTAGTGCGGTAGGTAATATGTATTTCCCGCCATGTACGTACCTACAAAAGGGCGTGTTTATTATACACACCTGTATAGTATTCATACCGTTAAATTAGATTCTTGTTGCGGAAAAAATATTTTCGAGATGAAATTTAAATATGTATTATGTATACATTAAACGCAGAAGGAAGAGGATGATTAAAAAAGGAATTAAATTTCGACAATTTTCTACTAGTCTTTTTTCGGTCAACAACTGTTTTTTTTAACGAAATTTTAGCGAAATTAACTACTAAAATAATTAAAATAATCCAAAATATATTAAAATCCTACATTATTAATATTGTTATTAACTATAAATTTGAATTCACCAATTCACCAATTCACCAAATTATTCGTTGCAATTTCTACATTTGAGAAACATAATATTAATAAATTCTGATTGTAACAATCGTAGTAAGAAAAATCAAATTTGAAAATTGTTATAAAGAATATGAAGCTCAAATTGACTCACTACTGCCCTCTTTAAAATAATAGTACAAGCAAAAGCTCAGGTTAAGTAGAAAACATTATACGAGTTCTGAACAATATTCAATGTAATGTAAAGAGGAGATATCCGGCTGATATTTTGTGGATATTTTATTTTTTATGCATTACTACAATTTTTGTCTAATCATAAAATGTAATGTTAAATGTTAGCTTCATTTTTCCATCCACTGTTAATTTTTATTATATATAATTTTTATACCACAAAAACAAATAAAGAAAATCTAAAATGGAAATTAATTGAGCCATACTAATTAATTAAATACAGTCAAGTTCTTATAAAAAACGTAAAAAATCGTTTAAAAACAATCTTTGTCTGCAAATTATCATGACAACATAGCAGAAACAAACATACTTATCGAAAGAGTATAGTGTAACTAGTGCAAAGGTCATAGAATGATTAAATTTAATTTAGTCTAATTGAAACCTTCCTCGATCGAACAATGAAGAGCGTCATTGGAATCTCGCTATTTAGTTTTTTCGCAATCGTTGCGTCCGATGATGTGTACAAATTAGAAACGAAATACATCGATGTACCTATAGATCATTTCAGGTAAATAAATCCGATACGATTCGGTTGATTTTTAATATACATAAATAATAAATTCCTGATTGTTTTAGTTACACAAGCGACGCCACTTTCAAATTGCGGTATCTTATTAACGATACTCACCATGACAAAGGAGGACCGATATTTTTTTACACTGGAAACGAAGGAAATATTAACAGTTTTGCTCAAAATACCGGCTTTATTTTTGATATAGCTGAACCGTTCGATGCTCTTATTGTTTTTGCTGAACACAGGTATGTTTCGGGGTTATTTGCTCGATATTTACTTTGTAGATATCGTTTTTTTTTTTGTAGATTCTATGGAGAATCGATGCCGTTTGGTAATCAATCGTACGTTTCTCCGAAGAATTTGGGTTACTTAACATCGCAGCAGGCCTTGGCTGATTTTGTCTACGTAATAGATCATCTTCAGAATGAGTACAAAAGTCGGTGGAACGGAAAGAAATTACCAGTTATAGCGTTCGGTGGATCGTACGGGGGAATGCTTTCCGCTTACATTAGAATGAAATACCCAGCTTCAGTATTGGGCGCCATCGCCAGTTCGGCGCCGATCTGGCAGTTCAATGGTCTGACCCCTTGTGAGGACTTTTACAGGATAACCACCGGCGTATACGCGTCCTATTCCCCGAAATGCGCAAATACCATCAAAAACTCATGGAAAGCAATAAGGTTAAACTCCAAAATAATTATAGATAAAATCGAATTGTATAATATTCAAATATTTTTAGGTCTTTTACGCAAACGCCTGATAATAAAAAAAACTTGACTTCCTTGTGGAAGCTCTGCAACACCCCATCAACAAGCGACGACATCGATAAATTGGTAGGATGGTATTCGGAAATACTGGTAAACATGGCGATGGTAAATTACCCGTACCCAACCAACTTTCTAACGAATCTGCCAGCTTACCCAATATTGCAATTCTGCTCCACGTTGGATAGCTACACTTGGTCGGACGATTACAGCCTATTGAAATCCATCGGGGATTCCCTCCAAATCTACACCAACTACACGAAAAGCGCCAAGTGCAACGACATCAACGAAACGTCCTCGAATGTAGGAGAAAGCGGTTGGGACTTCCAGGCCTGCACGGAAATGGTGATGCCTATGTGCTCCGTGGACTCGGATATGTTCGAAAACGCAGCCTGGGATTTCAACAAGTATACAAACGATTGTAGCAAGAACTTTAACGTGCGACCTCGGTCGCAGAATGAGCCAATATTGGAGTACGGGGGCAAAGACATCAGCACTGCCAGCAACATTGTCTTTAGCAATGGGTTGTTGGACCCTTGGTCGAGCGGTGGTGTTTTGAGACGCATCAATGACAACATCAAGATTGTCGTTTTGCCCGACGGGGCGCATCATTACGACCTCAGAGGTAAAAACGATGAAGATACTTCGTCCGTAAAGATGGTGAGGAGTTTCCATGCCAAGGAAATCAAGAGGTGGTTGAAGAAATATTACGAAAACTATGCGCAAGTACATGTCATATAAATTTTTATAATAAAATAGACTATTTTCTGATTTTGAACAGTCCATAATGTTTTTGCGGGATTCCATATTTCATTTATTGATTTTGGTTTCATGGTAAATTTAAGGCACTCTCTACTTATCGTTACGTTAATTTCTGTAGCATTGTGTAGATGGCCTTACTTGATTCTTATGTAGATGCTCTGTGGTTATATCAACAGGAAATTCAACTCTATTCGTACAGATGGACGTACTAGTATCTAATTTCATTTGCGTATGGATTCAATTATTATTCACTTGATCTTCCTACTTTATACAAACAAATATTTATTTAGGCGATTCAACAATATATACAAATATATGTTAAAAATAATAAAAATCTCTAACGTTTGGAATAAGTGTCATATTTTTCTACCTACGTTTATTTTGCAAATGTATAATAGCGAGGGTCAATTTGAAAATGATTTATTACAGAGCTTGACTAAAAACAGGGGACTGATTTTGTTATTAATTTCTGCCGGTTTTGAATGATTCATTGTGACATCCAAAGCCTCAAACAAACCGAAATACACGCCTTCGGTCACTTTGGTTATCTAACAAGTAAGATTAGCTCTTCTACTTCAACTGATGCATGAATATTAAAAATTGTGGATACTCCTAAGAAAACTCCAACAAAAAAATACCTCTCCATTGTGCCGATTGTGATTGGTGAAAAATCCATTTCCGCAAATTTACTCACGTGCTTGAAGTGTGTAGGAATGAATTTGAAGGGTGGGTGAGAATTTATGGAGTAATATTTCATTGAAGCACGCATATAAATCAGATCCATGAATTATGGCTGTTATTCTCTCAGTCTGCTTAAGACTCTAAGCTAGTCCATCCGTCCTCAACGCTATGTGCTATATAATATACCAATGTATCTATTCTCTTTTCCATCCCTGTTCCAATAGCCTATTGGCGGCTCTTTTAGTTCCATATATTTAGTTTTATATGTTACATATCTCTCTCTATTTACATCAATTGAAATCAGTTTATTAATAAAATATTATCATCATTTTCAAACATCATAATGATGTAGAGGTGTATTTGCGGGTATAAAAATAGGTATATTAAAGAGTAGCTAAGCAAGTTATAATTTAATTTCCTACGGGATTATGTTGAACTCGATATAGTACCTACTGCATGCAGGTGTATGAGAATTTGTAATAGAAAGTACTGCCTTGGAGTTCGATTGAAAATCATCTAGAATTGAGACGTCGTGTTCTGAATGCGATATGAACCCATCGCACGTATAGAGCACTCAACTCAATGAACCGAAAAGAATTGTAACGTGGTTTGTCAGCGATATACTACACATCGGTCGCGGCCAAAAGTGCTATATTGGATCAAAGCCAATATACACCCGTATAGCTCGTATATATAAAAGTCGATGTCGCCGGGAAACGAGGAACAGAATCACGAATGGAAATAAATATCTTGATTTGAAAATGTATACCATGCAGGAAAACGGATCCCTGCAGCTCATTTTATCTCCTCCACTTTTATAATAATCCCGTCGCCGCTGTGCTGGAGTTTTCGCGTTACTCTGTATATTAGGTACATTGTAAAGTCGAATAATAAAATATATGATTATTATAAAAAAAAAAAAAGTTTAAAAAAATCCTGTCAGAATAGATGAATGATCTGTTTTTTTTTTTTCGGAAGTATTAATCCCTGTACGTCGCGTTTTAAATTAATTATTCTCCAGCGTAAAACTGGTGGCCTCGATTTCCAATTAGGCCTTTTCCAGAGGCTTCTCGATGAAGTATTGTTTCCACTCCAGATCTGATGGAAGTTCCCGACATAAAAGAAAAGATAAGCCTTATTTCCCGTAGAAGAAAAGACGACAGATCATATTCGCAGTGAATGCAAAATTAACTCCCAGCCTCCCCCTTCCGTACACTTCCATTTTGCATTCCGTCCCGGCTCTCCGCTGTGGATTTAATGCTCGGTTTACTTCCATTCACAACGATAAGATTGCTTTAAACATAAACAAATTTTCCAAATCTGCTTTTCCGCTTTAATCTCCTTATTTGCGCACTCTCCTACTGCCTGCTTGACTTACTTGCTCGAAGGCATTCGCCTAATTGGATTTCGCCATTCCGCGGTTAAGTTTTATTAAAATTTGTTAATTTCATTTAAAAGTTCGCCTTTTCGCGTTACGATTTCGAATCGAAAAATGCGGATGTATTAGAAAAAAAAAAAGAGAATAAGAAAATTCTAAGCATTGCATTAATAATAAGGAATTGCGAGATTTATAACGACTGTGGCGCGCGGGCAATTATCAACAAGCAGGAGCAAATGAAATTAGACGAGATGAAATAAAATTGGGGGGCGGAAATTCTCATTCTAGAAGATAAATGATTCTTGATTGTGGTTGTAATCATATAGGACGAAACATCCGTGAAAGTGAGAAGGGTAAGTAGGATAAGTCCCACGAGGTGGCATTTGTACGGGGTGATGTCGTAATCACATGTGGGCAACCAAGGTTACTTAATTTTCTCAATCCCTAAGGGACGGGCGCTGATTGAATGGTAGTGCTCCCCGTCACCCCTAACAATTCAACCACCCACACACCACCCCGTTATAGCGGTTAATAACCGGATTGGGAGAGGACGATTTCACCGCGGTCAATAAGTCGTTGTTTAATTCTCAGATAAATCTATATAAAATTAAACAACCATCTCTTATATAAAGCTAAAATTTCTATATAAGGGAAGATTTTTTTTTATTGGTTATCTGGCATCTACATTATATGTATAGGTTGTACAACTCCCGAACATATCCGCACAATAATCTCTGTGACTTTTCAACAAGGGGGTGGTCGCAGATAGATCTGATTAAACCATAAATTCGAGAAGGCTGAAGTATTATTATGTATGTAGGTTGTTCTGTTGCTAATTGGGTGAAACCCTATAGGCTACGGTAGGTATATGCGAAGTTGATAAACGCAGAACATCATTAACTTCTTATGAATGCGATGAAAGAGTGGCCGCTACATCGAATATGCATGGTGACAAAAGGGAAAAAAGCCTTTTCGAAGTGGCGTATCATATAGACGAATTTTTAATTACATATGCACTAATTAATGCTATTCCTGTATATATGTAATAAAAACGATTATATAGCTATACATTGTAGTATAGGTTTATTTATTTGAACTAAGTTAATAAATGCAATATTGTATCACAATCAAGATTTGTTATTTCATATGAACTTTCATTGAACGGAAGTTGAAGAGGTAGGTATTTACTTAAATATTTATACAGATTTTTTAAATTTTTTATGTAGGTATATATAAAAAATAATTAATGAATAGGAAAAGGTATATATGACGCTACTGACTGATATCATCTCGACGAGGCGCTATTGGAATATCTCATGGTAAATCTCTATTGAACAGTTCGTACACCCTCTTTGGTTTTTGTTGCGGTCTCTGTGAAAGGCGGCCTGCCACAAATCCCCCTATTTCAATCTTTGCTGAATGACCATTGTACTTTCACAAAACGCATTTTATGATTATTAAAATCTGACATTACGCTTTAATTACGAACCGGGAGGAACACCTGCTGCATGCGTGGGACACGCGATCGTGGTCGTTGATGTATTATCGAAGATTCCAGCCAGGAATCCCGTGCGGATGCGAATTCATTTTATTCGAATTAAATGATAGAAACATTCCGGCATCAACGAATGTATAACAAAATAAAATATTCCATTGCATCAGGAAAAATGACCTCTCGCAATCGCCTCTATCATATACCAAACAATATTTCAAAGTGGCCTATCCGCAACTTCAAAAACCTAACTAATAGCTATTTATTAAAAAAAAGCGACGTCGAAGGAGAAAAAAAAAAACTCTCCCTAACCGTAGCCCGGCAATCAGTCATAAAAATATTTTTATCTACTGTCAACTGAAACATAAAACACCGAAAGATAAAGTGGAGTAGTTTCCTCTAGAGAGCGCTCCGAATGCGATATAGATGGAATATCTGCTCCCTCTGCTCCCCATTGCAGGCCTTTTCGACTCGACCGAAGTCCTGTTGATGCCCGTTTGTCCAGCACTGGCCGTTCTAACGCAGTCGATCCGTTGCCGATATGTCAAAACTTATACTCACGCCTATATGATGGAAACTCATTCTGAGTGTCACATTCCACATAAATAACTTCTTGGTTTTTTTTTATAATATTTTATTGAAAGGGAAGTTATTTCGTCACGTCGGGGCATATATGGGGTGAGTTTTGTATAGGTACACTTTGAAAAATGATTGTTTGATTTAACAAACTTTTTTAGTTAAATAGGATACCAAGAAATATTTGAAAATTGTTTTTGATTAATGAAATCTAAATATGTTTCTATATACCTACCTACAATGTGTTGTTGGTTAAAGAAATATTGTATTTAATTATTTTATATAATCTTAGGTAAAATATCATATCTATAAATGGTGGTCAATCTTAAAAAGTATCTAAACAATTAATGTCACTGGGCTTAGGTGTAAAAATTTCCAGTTGTTTGAAATCGACTTAAAATATCAATAGGTGATTTATAGAAATGAATAACTAATCAGTGCATTGGCTTAGTCAAACATATAAAATTATAAGAATTAAATATTTGAAGTCACTTTTTTTTAGTTAGTTATTAAAAGTGTTTAATATAAGAGAATTTTAGATTTACCATATAAAGAGCGCACTGATTATCATAAATGAAATATAGATAATAAAATAGCGTAGTTAAAAAAATATCACAAAATCACAAATAAAACAAATTTGATTCACACGATTCGAAAGCACTGAATAAAATTGATTTCACAATTATTGACCACCACATGCATAAGCATCAGCAACATTTAAATACTGTCATGTATAGTAGTATTTAGGTAAGTATACCAGTATTAGATATACTTGGACTATATCGACTAGTCAAATGAACGATTCACAGGCACAGTGGACGAACGTCGTCGTGTAAATAACAGAACCAAAAAAAAAAATAAATAAATAAAAATAAGAAGAAACCAAAAAAAAAATTATCGTTTGAGCACGTGGTGTGAACGTCAACAGCAGCGGAATTGTTCTTGTTCATTGTCTTGAATCGAAATCATCGAAACATCATCTCCGTGGTGTTCGGTTGTTCGGGATTTGCGCCAGCAATCGTCGTCCCCACCACGTTTTCACCGCCACGCCTCTTGGCCTATCGTGACCCAGGCGTGAACTAAGAACCTCCCCGGACCGCCCAGGCCAAGTCAGTGTCGGGCCCGAGACCGAAAGGTCACTAGTAGAGGCTAGAGTGTTTCGTGGGCTTGACCTATCACCTCCAATGTGAAGATACGTGCTCCGAGCTACTCAAAGTCTCCACAGGTTCAGGGTGTAGGAGTCCGAAAGTGTCTTGAACTCGGGTGTCGAGGTTGATGCGGTGTGAGAGTGCAGTGCGTGTGAAGTGAGGTTATCTTCTGGAGACCGCGGTGGATCGCTACAACGCAATGGCTGTGGTGGCGGCACCCACTTGGCGAGACACCACACTGGTTAACCCCATACCGACTAGTCTGAACACTTTGCCCAACGGTCTGAACCCTTTAACACCTTCTGGTAATTTAAATCCGCTGCCGCCGACGAATATTAACCCCATTACGCTTGAGAATCCGGATGTTTCGCTTATCAATCGACAGACACCATCTCAGAACTCGCAAAATAGCGCCAATAGTGTTGATAAGAACCAAAACATTGAGTGCGTGGTGTGCGGGGATAAAAGTTCCGGTAAACACTATGGACAATTCACGTGCGAAGGTACGTTGATTTTTTTTTATTCGCACTTACAATTCTCAAACTTTTACCAATCTCCCAATATTATATATGTACCTATATTAAATTTATTAAATGATACAACCATATTATTATCGCCTTTTTAAATAAATCAACAGGCCGAAAGTATGTACATTTTTTTTTCATTCTAATTGGAGAAAATTCAACTAGAAGTCACAACAGAAAATCTATCGAATTACAAAATTTTCAAACATTTGATCAGAAAATTAAAAAAAAAGTATAGGTACCTAATTAACATTGTAGGTATCTAAAATTCTAAAATAATAGGGGAGGTTCTGCGTAAATAGAAATAAAAAAAAATTGCATTATACATATACATGTATAAGGTAATGATAGGATAATAGGGTCTGACGGTTAAAGGGGAGGTTCTTATTTGACGGCTGTCTAAGGGTTTCACGCCACTAAATTAACATCATATACCAGAATAATAATTACTTTATTCAAAACTAGCATACATGTACATATACACATTCAAGGAATAACAACAAAAATACCAATTAAAATTTATTACATTTTCTGGTAGATTATTTTTTATTTTCAAAATTCGCATCAGTTTATTTGGTGGTTTTTGGCGTCATTGATAAGAAATTCGTTTCGGAGAAATCAACGTAACGGTTTTGTATTTTGTCCTTAGTAATTACATGACAACCATTATCAGCTTACCAGTTGCTTAATATGTTAACAAATTTATTTTTTACTCCGCACGAAATAAAATTATACCTAAACAACGAATTTTTTACGCAGTCGAGGCTATAACAGACAAAATTTGTTGTATTCCGTGATTAATTAAATACTTTGTTACAAATTGTAACTTATCGTTATCAACTTTGTATACTTTGGAGAATAAAATGAGTTTGTTATAGGAAATAAAAATATGGATTTTCCTGATGTGTCAACTTTGTATCAACTTTTTATATCAATTTATATTTCTATGGTATCTTAATTTATTATGGTTTATTTAATTTTCTAATAATAATTTAATTTTTTTTGAGACAAGTATACCTAATGGATTTTATTTTAATTTTTTTCTTTAATTTCTTTAATTTAAAAAACATGAAAAAAAGTGAGAATATATATGTAGATCAGGGTCTTTTTAAATATATGTTCTGAATTAATATAAAAAATCATTTTTAATAAATGGCTTCTCTCCTATGAAAACATCGATTAAAATTTTAGCATAATCTTCATTTAAAAATGTAAATGTCAGGTTTCAATCAAAGCAACCCTTTACCTGAAACTCCCCTAAGAATGATTCTATTAAATTTCAACATCACGCTGGAATTTGAACATCATAATACGGCACCTGTTAAAAGTAGGTAAGCGACCGTATGCGTACGTGTAGCAGCAAATCCGGGGCTAGCGAGTATAACCCCCTGCTACCCATCTCATGCATATTCAATATGCAAATTTCTTTAAATCCTCCACATCTCTGTTTATATTTTGTATTCTTTATGGCCACGTTTAGGAATTGACGCCGCCTAATATATAACGAAGAGCTATAATCTCTTCATCATTCCGGCGTTGTGCCTGCAATGATGAAAAAATTATACCCTAATTTGCCATGTTTTTTTTTGTATCCGAATTTAGCATTAACGGCTTTTAATAATGAAAATTATATAATGCACTCGTATTAGTGAGTATATATATATAGGTATACTTAAAATGTATTAATTTAAAGCCATCAGCACAGTATTGATGGGTATAAATTTCTTTGGTCTAATTTCTTGACTTCCTCTTGAAGAAACCTTTGTGGAAATTCTTTTATTTCAACTATTTTCTTTTGTGTTTAATCCCAATGAGAAAGGTTTCTTATTTTTTTATTGGCTTCCGTAGATACAATTACTACTTTTACATTGGTGATTTGGGATCGCGTTTAGTGGTGGTCTAATAATAAATTCGACACGTCCATATAGCATATTATACAATAAATATAGCCGGGATGTATTTCTCCCGTAAAATATACGCCGTCTACATATTAAAGTCGCAATCGCAATGCTTCGATTACACAATTTATTAATTACATATCTATATATTTCATTGATAAGAAATTCTGGATAGGAATATTTCGTATTCGCTACCACGTGTGGCTTTTATTGAATAATAGTATTAACTGTTTATGTGCTTCATTATTTTCGAATTAAAAATCATTAACGGCCTTGAGATACATAAGCTATTGAATGGAAATTTTTTAACGTCACATTTTTGATTTGTTTGAAGCGATTTTTGTTGAAAAATTGTTTGGTTTGTCTATAGGTATAGGTATACCTATTGCATGATACTATATATATATTAATATACAAAAGCCTGTATGTATATATAGAAAACTAGTCAATAAAGGTGTGCGTTATTGTAATAAATAAACACGACATTTTGTGTATTACGGTTACAACATGTTAGGTAGGGTAGGAGTCGTGAGATCCAAAAAATCAAACAAAAGAAAATTGAATACATAACGTGCCGCTAATACAAAAGATTGACCACGGGTAATATTGTCATTTATATAATTCATAAGCACACCTGCCTTAATACATTTTCCGTTAATATTAAATAACAGAGTACTTTTTAATAACAATCTGAACGAAACAATGAGAGACCGGACACCGAATTGACAGAGAAATGCAGACAATAAGTTATTTCCAGATTTGTGTAATTGTCGCAAAGCATTAGACCGAAACCACGTAGGTAATATATATATAAAAAAAAATTGGTACGTACGCGATGTTACGCTTCGTGATTAGGGCTCCTTCAATTAATTGCTAGACTGGAAAAATTCCTTTTGATTTTCATTCATTCATGCAATTGCCTGCGAATCTGACCGAAAAGTCCGTTGAAAAGGGTTGCTTGGTCTCGCTCGCTGCGCGAGTTCGACTTTATACACTTATATAGGTATGCACTAATGTATAAATTAGGCGACAATTATTTTTTTTTTATTCTACCCAACTCAATTTTCCTGCTCAACAATCTTAGGTAGGACTTAAAATTTCTTTCGATTTGATGATGGTTGATGTATATAAAGAGGGACGTTGCTAGTCAATGTTATGCAAGGGGTCCGGAGCCTTATTCACGATGAAAATTTGACAACCCCTTTGGGACGTTCGAAGAAAAATGGGCCTTTATAAAAACATTTCGAGCAATAAAACTATATAACGGCGGTGCATGTATGACATATTACGTCGATTAATTTTATTCCCGATGTTGACGGGAAGGTAACAATGCGATGCATAATTGGAGGTGTTGCGATGAAACTAACGGCTCGCCTAACAATGAAACACTTAAGATATTTGTGCGGTTTAAAACAAAAAAAGAATCCTCTTATGAAGCTGTCAGTGACAATAAGTGCAGACAGTTGGAGTAGAGGTGATGGTGTAGGAAATATCTGAACAATTCACTTTGTGTTGCAGGTTGCAAGTCATTTTTTAAGAGGAGTGTTCGAAGGAATTTGACTTATTCATGTCGGGGAAATCGAAATTGCCCCATCGATCAGCACCATAGAAATCAGTGTCAATATTGTCGATTAAAAAAATGTATGAAAATGGGCATGAGAAGGGAAGGTATGTACACCAATATTTTATTATTTTTAATGTTAACATAGGATCGAATTTTCGGATGAAATTTTATATACAGAGACCGAAAATTTGCTCAGCTATAATATACAATGTATATGCATATCAATGCGTCATGGAAAATATTCCTTAAAGAATCCGCCATCATATAATTTCGAATTATTAAACATATCTAACTGCAAAAATTTTTGCAAACACATAAATTTAGCCAAAAAAAATTAACTGTAACTAATTTAAATTCGATAAGCAGTCCATCCTTATTAGTTATAATATCTATCTATTAACTGGTTGTGATACCACCATGAATATGTATGAGGTATATTAGGTAGGTATATGTAGAGACCATCAAACATTGATTTGAAGTTCAGTAGGAAACATTTAACGACTTGAATGTGTTTCATGATTATTCATATTATGATAATCCATTTCAAAAGTCTATGTATCCTTAATCCTTGAAAAAATATTACACGATTGTTTCGATTCAGTGGTGTCATTAAAGGGGTGAACACAAGAAAATCTGTATGATAAATAAATGTTTATACAGAATGAAGCTATACAGAATACGCTACTGATATTTATGAAATGAATTAGACGAAATTGTTATTTTGTATAGCTCTTTAAAATTAATAATCGAGCCATTATATCGAGCTTGCATATTTTTTGTCAATAAATAGAGTACCTATCTTAAAAAATTGTTTAAAAAAATACTTTCACTCGTACTACATTTGAAATATTTTAGAGACAACCTGTATCCGAAATTTTTAATGTAGGTTATAAAAATTTTAGAGACCTTTGGGTTGCGTTGCTGTTTATGTGAAACGTATTTTAAAATAATTACTTCGGCTGCTTTCGTTTCAACCACATATAATAAATTTGATAAGACGAAAAGTCAAAGGTTATTGAAACTTCTAGTTTAGAACGTAATTTGTTTAAAAACAGAATACGATTGCATATTAATTAAGGATGGTTTCGATTTAATTAACATAACTGAATAAAAATATCGGGTTTCTGTAATTTAATGATTTCGGTACCATTCCAAAACTTTCAAAATTTCATAGAATTTGAAGAGCGAAAAATATAATGAATATAAACGTTTTGTCTATATACCTATACATATGTAGGTATATGAATATTTTTTTATGATTATGATCGGGTTCTATATAAAAGTAACTAACCTAATATGCATCCAGTTTGGTTGGTCCGCGGGACCCGTACGAGTTTTTCTATCTGGTATTAAACGCTTAGGTTGTTTAGACAAAGTCAAAAATATTTAATTTGATGTATTTGTCGATCCATTTACATAGTAGAAATATAATATGATGGGCAAAGAGGTATTCACAATGGATAGACGGGTACGTAACGTGTCATATGCCCATTGAATGGAATCAAAGGAATCAGGTAGAAATAAAACTTGTTTGAAAGGGCCCTTATTTCGCATACACCTTACGTTCAGTCTCAGGGGTTAGAAATGGATGACCAGTGTCCAGTAGATATTATGTAAATCAGCATAAGGGCATGTTATAGGAGCTTTATTCAAATCCAGTCTTCTATTCTTTTTTTTTTTCGTGGGAAAACATAGGGAACCCGGCTTATGAGAACTTTGTGTCTGGCTATAAGGAATATTTATTGCGATACCAAACAACATTTGCATTATTTTTCTGGTGTTATTCAAATAAACCGTATATTTACCCGCAAAATCAATTTAGTCCGACCCGGATATCTTTTGAATTAAAATGGGAAGTGTTTTTACCACTATATTGGGAAGGAACTTGATGCTTTTATATCGAATTTCAAACCATTTGAATTAGTTGAATAGTTTCAGAGGTAAACTTTCTTATCAATAATTCTATATACAGGGTATATTAAAATACCAGAAATAAAAATATCCAGATATTATAGCATAAGAACAAAAAAAAAAACCTACTTTATAAGGAAATAAAATGAGGATTTTTTTGAGTATGTAAGATATACTCTGTAGTATGTAGTATGCCTTAGTAATGGTGAATTTTTTGATGGTACGTTTGTAATTTTTTGTCAATTAAATAATTAAGAAAAACAAAATTTTTAAAATAAATTAGGTATTAAATTGAAAAACGTTTCAATTGATTTGTTTAGTACCTATATACATAGAGCTTAAATTTTTGCATAGAACGAACAATGAATAAGGAAACAACTGTATTTTGATAGCGGGAAATCAGAAATCACCCGGTAGAAAGTAGTTATATGGATTTGAATATAAAGCGTCCGTTTTTCGTGATGTGGGTTCTTTTAAAAATCTGTATAAGCCAGGACGGAGACTTATGAAAATATTTAGGCTTATGTATGTATAGCGAGCCGTAGAATAGCAAACCAGAACCCCATTCTTGTGGATGATTGATCGATTTAATATACAAATACTTGACCGTAAGGGCGAACAAAGGGCCGGTGGCCGTTGCCGTACCTAAAAGATCGTTTACCACTTGCATACATTAACAACTGACTTGAGATTAATGGTCAAACGTACGGAATTGGTATTGCTTCTTCTTTGCCATCGTCATTCCATGGGAACAAATTTAAATTTTTTCGATCGATATATACCTACTACTTACACTTCCTTTGTATATTATTCTAAACAATCTATTATTAAAATTGCTCCAAATCGGTCGAGACTTATTGTTTCGACACGAAATATAATGTTGGCGAAGAAAAACAGAACTGAACGTACGTAAATTGTAATATAATAATCCTATTAAACTTTGACCGAAGTGCAACCGGTTTGGAAAGTATCACAGATGCAAATTCGATGCTATATGGGCATTGGGCATGTTACGACTATACCGAGAGATGCACGATCTTGTAGTTTAAAAAAGAATTTTCATACACCAACATGTATAAAGACTCTTCCACACACACTATTCCACCAGCAGAAGAAATATCCTATACCTTATATACCTACGTTAAATTATACATACGCACATTAAAAATAAATTCGTGTAATCAATTTAAGCAACTCCGGCGACTCTTGTAGGTGGTCCTGTTAATTTCCATATTATGAAAATTTTTTGATTATATACCAAAACAAAAATAATAGAATTACACCGAGACATTCGTATCTATTGTAAATCCTGTCTTTCGCATTAATTATCTTGTCAACGGGCTCGCCGGAGAGATGTTTTATTTTACAATCGAAATATTCGAAATTCTCGGTTATGTACGGAATGTTTTTTAGTCGCGGTACAAGTACCTACACGGGACATTACTGGAATGTGACACAAATATGTCAAAACGTGGAGAAAGTATGTGGGCGCTATAATACGGGTTTGCTGTATAGACTTATTGATTCGGATGATTAACCGTACAATTTATTTATTTATTTATTTATTTATATAGATACATACCGACGAGACTCCTTGAGGTCAACCACGAAAATTATATGCGCGGTTAATTTTTTTAGTGATATTAGGTATATGCATAACTCTTTTTTAATTAGCCCCGCGATCGTTCAGAAATTCAGATTTACAGAGCACTACGTGTGCATGGGCTTACGTACAAAAATTCAAACGTCATGTTAACAGAGAATATACGATCACACTTCTAAGAATGGGGCAATTCCATTAAATTAATGTAGTTGTATACCGAAGTTCATAAGCCATAAGTTCGCTGTCCTGCCTCTCACGTTCTTCCACTATATGCCTGTTTCTTCGAAATTCTTTGTTGCGTGACAACCTTCAAATTTATTGTTTCATCTTCTCATTCGGACCAGCTAGAGATGGGCGAGTGAATATACGCGTTATACTGCTCCATTTTGTAAAAAAATTATCGGTATGTGAAAGACGATTTCAATATGAATGAACGCAATGTATGTTAGAACCAGTTTTTATAACAATACAAAGAAATCGAAACATATGTATGTATGTATTTATGTAATGCAACCTTAGAAATTTTAGAAACGCGCAGATTTGTTATTCACAAGGAACGATAACAATTGTATCTTCGAATTATTGTTGATCTTTCATGTCAATGTCGAAGACTAGTATATCCAGTTAAATTTGTATCATAAAGGGCGTATTCTTATTTTAATCAGTATAGCTTCAATCCATCTCTAACGCGTGTACCTATACATAGGTATAAGTAACAAAATGTTTCAACCTTTTACTTTTTCCATTTCTTCATTTCCACTGCGCCATTATTCGTATAACACAGCAAGTCTTTAAACAACGACAAAGAAAAACTTTTGTTAATCAAAGCGCTCGTTTTGTTCCTTCCTAATTACGCAAATGAATGATGATGAATGAACGCAAGTTCATCAGGCGAAAGTAGTTTTTTTTGTTTGTATAAAAAATGCGAAAACACTAATTAAGGATTACTATTTGACTTAGCTACGTATATCAATCATATAATCGAAATCGTCGTATGTTTTAAATAAATTATTCATTGGATAGTATCCATCTTCTAATAATATCACGACAAATTGTTGCAAAAAAAAATATTAAGCAAACCCAGAGCATTGATAAATTGGATTCCAAAGACTTATTCGCATAATAAATTGCCGCATTTTCTAGTTGATTTTTTATTTTTTACCATGTTCTGTAGTAAAATAAAAAGTTTTATAATATAATGGAACTGACAGTTGCGAGGTTAGTACTAGTCTTCTTATTCAGCGGCGGAGAAATCAAGCTTCAGATAGTTTCTTTAGCAAGTGTATAATAATAATAATATTTAACAATACTTACTCTTCAAATATTTAAATGAATTTGATTTGTAGATTATTTTGTCATTTTTTTTATTAAAAATATTGCATTAAGGAGTAGTTAAATTCGTCTTGAATTAAATAAGTAGTAATTAACTGTTTGGGAATTTGGAAACATTTTGTCAAAGAAAAATTTTGCCCTACGGCCTGCTAAAAGTGGCGCTAGTGTCCTTTCTGTGGTCGGTACTCTCTGGGTCTTGGTAGAGGCTACAGGGTCAGGGTCAGCTAAGGTCATTTCTCACGATAGCCGCATTCAGCATAGCATAGCAACCTAAGTCTTCAGAATTATAATAATATACATGTGTATGGAATCATCTTTTGTCTCTTCTGCGCTGCTTTTTGTTGTTTTTATTGTGGCGTTTTAAATGCGAATTATTGGATCGTAAGAAAATTTTTGCACGAATTCTACGGTGAAATTTTTCGATACATTATGGATTTTGGTTATTGGTGTTGGTGTTGGTACGCAGGAGATTGAATAAATGCTCGTTGATTATTTGGGAAAGTTCAAATTGTCATAAATTTCCAAATCAAAAGGGAATAACATTGTGTTAAAGAGCTATTAAAAAAACGACTAGTATACTTTTTAACACCCTTATGCATTATACTACACCGCTCTTATAAATGATGAATTAAATTGATATGATGGTTTAGGTTCATAGGGGTCCACAAACTCTTTTGTACACAGAGAAAAATAAATGTTTGCCATCAATTTGAAGCTGGATTGAGTTTATTAATATTGCGCGTTTTTTTTTATTTCCTTACCTAATAAATTATATCGAGCGGTATTTATTTAGTTCCTTTTCAGCATCCAAAATAGAACCATTATGTTATTATTATCAGCAATAAACTGAAAAAAAATCTAAATCTCCTTAACTCTGCGGTTGACTGACCCAGACCCTTTTCTCTACGTGAACCCTTTTTTAAATGGATCAGACAATGGCCTCAGAGTCGGGTTGTTTTATTTTGTTGTTGTTTTTTTTTTGAAAGATTATACCTGAGATTTGTGTCAAAGAATGCGTAAATGGTATATACAAACCTGACCTGAAGCTGGGCGCAGGGCCACAATCGCCGCTTTGGTGCTCTGATGCACGGGACCCCCTCCCCCGCTGGCGCATCACGTGCTCAAAGTGTTAAAGCCAGTACGCCACATGGTACTGTTAACAGTGGCGTGCATCTTTGTTATTAAAAAATTTTCACAATTTACTTCGAACAGTACCTACTAATGGTTTTTTTTGTGCGCACAATTAGCCGACTCGTCATTTTTGAAACTCTTATGACAGTACAATAACGTCGATTGTTTGTTAAAAAAATCCAAAAAACTGAACACATAATCAATGTTAATTCAAACGTCAGATGTTATATAAATGATCTTAGACAAACATTATCTTGATAAATGGTGCATTCGTTATTTCTCTTCAGACGATGATGAACTTCATGGGATGACCGCGGGTGTGCGAGAAACAAGCTTAGCTTAGTCACTAAACATAAAAATTATTAGTACCTACCTATGTAGTATGTGTTGTGGACAATGAGCGTAAATAAAGACACACACACACACACACACACATTGAACTCTGTTTGTAAATTAGATGAACTGGATATGGGTCAGGAATGTGCACTAACGATTTACTGTTAATTGGTAAATTGGTATCTGTTTTTTTTTTATTTGATAAATTATATTGGACGTTCAGTGTAAAATCGCTGTAGAAGATCCGATGGAATGTAGGTAGGTATTTCCTTATTATTATTATTATAGTTTCAGGAGGTCACGGTACTAGGTATACGTAGTAGTAACATTATAGTTCATATTCATATTCAACAATAAATATGCAATCTCGAATATTTTGTATACTTACTTAATTGAATTATTATTATAATGTGCCATTTTGTGCCAATTATTCTGGCATAATTTTTAGTCTACAAATTTTTAATGTTTCTTTTTATTCTCTGCGCCATCACGGAACAGAACATATTGTTTCCACATTCAGGGAAATATTTAAAAATAAACACGACTTTTTTTACTTCAAAATACCCCTCAATGGGATATAAATAAAATGCTGTAAAAAATCTAGATTAGCCTAAATGGTGTCTGCAAGCATTCGATGGAGCTTGGGATACCATTTGGTCCTACTGGTTTCGTTAGGGAAACGCGACAGTCGCACGAGAAGAACGTAAATAGTTTTTTTTTCTTTATTTATGGTTATTAGCATTGCTGATAATCGGGGCTCGGAAAGATAAGTTTGTTTTAATTTTAGATTTTTCAAATTTACAAAAGCGGCGCTGAGACTGATTGAATAATTAATTCGTCAAGAAAATGCTAATCTCGTGTTTTATTCCAACGTTATAAAATTAAGAAATGACAATAAAACAATCTTAACGACGAGTAAAGCTATGTATATAAAAAAATATGCGTATCTAGAGGTGTCTAGTTTGTAAATATTTTAATGTAAATACCGCAATAAAATTTATTTTATTGTAACTTTCATATTGTCGGAATACTTTTCCAGGGCGACTTTATAGCTTTTGGAATTTGAATATTTTCTTTTTCTTACACCAAAATCAAATGCGTACAGTTGAATTGATTGTGAAATTTATCATTTGTCGGTAACGTCATTATAATAAAGTTTGCATAAAAAAAATGGATCAAGATAACAATGTGAAACTGAACAGATTGAAATTTATATATGTAGGTAGGTATATGGTAAAACAAATATTCATATACGGACGTTCCAGCACCTGCCGTATGCATGAAAATCAAATAAAGCACCCGTAAAAATATTTAACAACGCTGATTCGATCTGGCTTCCTTTACCCATACCGTAATTAACCCCGTCACCCGCCACCTGAATATCAGCATTAGGTACCTACCATTAAATATATCTATAGGAATTTGCATTGACCTTCAACCCGGCTCACACCGGAAGGGCGTTCGATTTATACCGACAGATTAATCAGTTGCATTTTCGACGAAACATCATTTAAAAAAAATAAATAAATATGCTAATAATTCTCTAATATCGCCTTTATCTCTCGTATTGTTTCAGCCGTCCAAAGAGGAAGGGTACCGCCGACTCAACCATCGCTTCCCGGATTGCCCAATCAATTTCTCAACTCGACGGACTCGATGCAGATCAGCAACCACACGTACCTTAGTAGTTACATATCATTGTTGTTAAGGGCAGAACCTTATGCAACCAGTCGTTACGGGCAATGTCTACAGACGAACAATATTATGGGTATAGACAATATTTGTGAATTAGCCGCTAGATTACTGTTCTCTGCCGTCGAATGGGCGAGGAATATACCGTTTTTTCCCGATCTCCAAGTCACAGACCAGGTAATAAGATAACTATACTTATATACGTACATCAAGATTTATCAAAATGTTCGAAATGTATTTTGTCTAAATATCAAACAAATCCAGCTATTGTTAGTGAAATTGATATTTACCTACCTGTTGTTGAACAAACCGAGGGAGTCCCTTTTGAATTATAACACCAATGACACGCCGTTGATATTCGTTACCCTTTTCCCCCTAAACAACCGGCGTGATCTCGGCGTGGTCTCCATTCCGAATTCCGATATAACGTAACGTAATGTAACGTAACGTAACGTAACGGAGGCAATCAGCTAATGGAAGGATTTTGGTTACAGGTGGCACTACTTAGATTAGTTTGGTCCGAATTGTTTGTGCTAAACGCGAGTCAGTGTTCCATGCCACTACATGTGGCACCCTTAATTGCCGCTGCCGGCCTTCATGCGTCACCGATGTGCGCCGACAGGGTGGTGCAATTTATGGATCATATTAGGATATTTCAAGTAAGCCAATAACTAATTACTTATAACTCTTTAGGTTGTTAACTTTTAAGCTGGATTTATTGAAGTCGGTTTTATGGTTCAGCTTGATTAATTGAGCGCTTTCGAAAACGGGGTGCGTTATGTCAATTGAATTGAAAAGGGTTCAACTTTATGTACCCTCTTATTTCACTTAATTGGTTTCTTTTTAAATATACTATTGATAATTAGAATTTTTAATTTTGACCCACTAAAAATATTTAATCACTCAATCTGGGAATCATCAGTCGAGTATTCATCGACTTGTATAAGTACCTATAGTTAAAATTTCTTTTCTTTTAATTTTTAGGAACAAGTAGAAAAATTAAAAGCATTACACGTAGATTCGGCGGAATACTCCTGTTTGAAAGCCATAGTACTATTCACGACTGGTAAGTTATTATTTTTTTTGTTGCAACTTATTAAACTTTGCGTATTAAAAGTAGTAGTAGGTATAGTTGGAAAAGTTAGTAAAGGTAGAATCGGAACAACAATCCTTGACACTGCGGAACCTCGCTCAGAGAGATAAGAGCTGAAAAGGCCGCAGATAAGGCTCGAAAGTGCCCAGTTGTTCGGTAGTGCTACCGCGTCATTTACCATCCGAACAAAAGACCCTTTTATCGAAACTACACGCTGCCTTTGGTCTTAACTCTTCGTTTACCGAACGTTCCGAACAATATTTTATTGTTTCTGTTGACTTTACACCTTGAACTGTTGTAACACGCGGCCGGGCAACGAGACGATCCGATATATATATATATCCGATCGATTCCAACGATTTTCCATTCAGCCTAATTTCCCTTAATTTTCTTTCAACCCCTAAAATTTAAATCAGCGATACGCCTGCATGAACTTTGACCTCTTCGTTTGACCTGCGAAGACATTTGATAGTCAGCACTAATGTTATAAATTCCTTGACGGTGGTACTGACGTTTCATTCGCCGGTACGGTTATACCGGGAGTACGATTCGATCTATGTGTGGTGCCTGTTCGGATTTCGCACAGATTAGATCAAACGTTTTAACGGTTAAGCGATTTTTATTAGAGCGCTCGCGCGATATGGTGCAAATATGTATGTAGACAATATAATGATAAAATCGATTCAATAAATAGATATATAGGTATGTATGGTAGTTATTGAAGAAAAACAAAATATGATGACTGTATCGTGTGTAGATAGATGTAATAAAATCGCGCTGTCCGCTGTACGTAATGAGATAATGAATTCAGGATTGTCAGGCGAAAATTAGGAACTAACCAATGCTAATGACTCCGACGAGGAATCGGTCAAATTGCTAATTAGACATTAAGTCAATGCTGTCGGCATCGAAAATTGCATAATGATCGGGATTATTGCATTAGCGGTCGGATTGGGTCTCCGGTCTCCGGTCTCCGCCGAGAGGGAGAGACTCGAATTTTGCATTATATCTTCTCTTGGTCGAGCGCGCTTTGTTCGGCGTCCATGCTATGAGCCTGATATGAGCATATAGCTGTCATGATATGAACAGAACCAGCTATACCGTGCGCGTAACACAGGCCATAGAGTCACAGCCACAGCCACAGCCAAAGCCAAAGCCACAGCTACAGAGTTTGCTTGCATGGTCAACTGGCCAGAAAGCTTTTTACACGTGAAAAGGTTTGCGTCCGTCCGTTCGTTCGTTCTCGCCAATGGCGGAGCATTTTCGATGAATTTTATTTATCTAATCTAATCGAATCGGGTGGGTCTCTTTTTGCTGGCTAACGCAAAAAATTAATTTAGCGAGAAATTTAATTGTACGTTACGAGTTTAAATGTTTTCGGCCGTTTTGTACATATATAGGTATCAGGTACATCCGTTCTGAATGTTCTATTTCGAATGGATTTTCGAATAAATTTACATGATTTACCGTGTCGCAAGAAAATTTGCTTAAAAATTTAATTAACGGATCCGAATGTGCGTAGCATTTAAGAGATACCTCTCTCGTATTGACGACATCCGCTTCCATATTGAGATGCTGTTATTCCGAATCGGTAAAGGCAATCGACTTGACCATTGTGAATGGATAGGATAATATTATTTATAAACACTTTAATGGAGATTAACATATATTACGGACTTGGCATTTATGTATCTAAAACCAAAATTTACAACATTAAATCCCGCCGTGCGTTATTACTATCGAACGTTGATAAAAATTAAGATTTTTTTTTTCTGTTAGATACCGCGCCTTTACCTATATTATACTTATACGATTCTTGTGAAATAAATTTCGTATTGAAAAGCGACAATTGCACAATAACTAGAAAATAAACTTTCCATTTTTCAATTGACCCACAATTCATTTTCAAATCGTATTAATAATGGCAAAAAATACAAATAATTTTTCGGATTTTCATGATATCTGATATTGAGCTATTGGAATTACCGCCGACGCTGATGCCTATCAAATGAGATATGGCAATTCGAAATGGAAATGGTGGTATGACATTTATACATGTCCGATAAAATTAACAGTAATAAGCCAACGAGCAATAAATAGGGTAGCACCTAATTGATTTTATATTCAAATAGATGTTTACATTTTGACCATAGAGAGGAGAGAGAGAGAGAGAGAGAGAGAAATGGGCTCAAAACGTAGAGCAAGCAATTCGTTAGATATGATAAAACTGTCTGTTATCTACAGAGGCGTACCGATGGATAGATACTATTCCAAATATATAGTTAAATAAAATAATGTTTATTTCATACAAATGAAAGGAATAATATTTAACCTTAGACCTTTCATTTAATGTAATTTGTTGTTCAAATCGAACTTGTGTAAGTATAAGTGTATTCACCTAACATGTTTAACACTTGACTTACCTTAGTGGGTACACTACCTTAATAGAACAGTTTATGGCGCTTTTTTTACGATGAAATAATATGCACTGTATAATTTAATAGCCAACCCAGGGCGATAAAACATCTGTGACCTACAAAAAGGTCATATTTTACAGTATTAGGGTATAAGTTGTCCCTTTCCTATAATAAATTTCAACAATTAACCCCGCATGACCTTTGGGCGTCAAAGGTAAAAAGTCGCCGTTAAAACGTCTTTTTCGAGCTCGTTTTTTTACTCGCAAATGTCACTAGGAAGTTACCAGATTAGCAATTTATTGTCGTCGATACAGCTCATATATTCTTATAAAAGGCGCGCTTTTGAATTCCACGTGAAACACAGCGATACTTACTTACATATGTATGTAGAATATACGCGTCTCGAGATTCTCGGAATATTTCCGCGGATTTATTACAATGAAATTCGTCAATTAAAATTTATAGGGAAAGCGCATTTACATTTTTAATTTGTTTTACATACACAATTAAATTCCATTTAGGATTCCATCCGAGGAATTTCTTTCAAACAACTCCTGTAAGGCTTAGTGATTGCGGGATCACATCATGAATCCTCTAATCTTTTTCGTATTGAAATCAAAAAAGGTTCCTTGAATCGGCAACGCGACAAAAGTTTGAGTTAGGAAGATTTTGAGAAAATTGCATTATTGTCAACTTTCCGCTGTCCCCTATTTTTGCCCGTGGTGTGCGGGGCATATTAAATCAACGCCTAGATACTTTTAACTACATGCAAATTGGACCTGCTCAGTTTTTACATCCCGTCACATCCGTTTCTTTGGGAATAATATCCACAATTTGAACTATATACTAATTACATACTTGCGAATGTGATTCTTTTAATTAAAACAATTACTAAGTTACTACAATCACTTACTAAAATGCCATCAGTTAATTATTTTATAAATATCAGCTTAATTCACATTACCTATCACTATATTGCTGTATAGATATTAATTTTCTTTTCTGTAATCATAAATAGTTAAAACATTCTAACCGGAATAAAATTAATTACAGTATGTTTAAAGATAAACAAAAAAAATTGAATAAATATTTCATGTAATCTTAATGAAATATGTGACCTCTTACCTATATCTATTGTGGTTAAATTAATTTTTCAAACATGCTCGTCCATCTTCAAAAGGTGCTGATCTATCTTAAACGATAACCTAAAGAAATTTTTTGATATTAGCTCAGAATTGGTTAAAACAGATTAACATAACGAGTATACGAGAAAATACCATCAAACACGGAAAAGAAGTTAATTGGAATTGTTTGTCCTACAAAATTAGAATAAAATAGATAATAAAAGTCAATAGTATGAAAACTAACAGCACGTTTTTTATCGACTATACATACCTCAAATCCGGATAATTAAAAATACAGTGACTGGTAAAATTTACATACATACAATTTTTGATGAAATTTCAAATGGGTTGGGTAAAATTCATACAGCCCAACTGAAAATGTTATGGTATAGTTTCGGATTGTTCGACCCCTCTATCTTCTCGGGCAATTTACATCTTCCTGGTGAGCATTCCAGAGTATATAGCAGGTCTCTAGGACTGCTGGCCTTTAATTACGGCCAAACCGTAATAAGTTAGCTACACTATAAATTATTATTTAAATTGAAATCGAAATCTTATCTGCAACGCGGAGGATTTGAACCATTAGCGTTTGTTGGGGTTCAGGGGTCGGTGAAAGGGTTAAACTCCCGTTGCTGCAATGTCTGCCCGGGGTGTCAGAATTCCTGCTGTCTTATCATCGGTTAATCCCACAATATTTCCTCCTTAAATGGATAATGGCAATAAAACCAATGAATGACCTAATTGAAAATAAATTATTCCATGCATCTTTTAATTAATATAAGGAAATCGGTAATTTTTCGAGTGGGATACGATATTTATTGCATTGCCCAACGCCAATAATGATTTCGGAATAAATTAGTAGATTACTAATGTTAAAATATTCAATCCTTGATACTATAAATGATTTCGAGAATCATGCATTAAGATTTTTGATTAAGGAAATTCAGTAGCGCACGCTGTTCGATTCATCGTCAGATAAACAAATCGAAACAAATACATAATATATTTTTGCTTTGTGAATTTATGAAATAATATGCTCGCTTGCATCGGTTGCAGATTTGAATATTTCAGCTTTGTAAATCGGGCTTGGTGTGTGTGAATTTGGTAAGCAGGTTAGGTTACGAAAGGTCGTGACTTGGTGGTACGCTGAAGGCCTCAGGCCATCGGAGTACATGAGCACAAGTTGCGAAGTGCACTCTTCTTGTCTCAAACGGCTTTCAGGGTTGTATTCAGGCTATTTAAACTACTTGCCTTAAGCCACATGCCCTATGGATTGTGTAATGGATGTATGGATGTATGGATTTATGTACTAGATGCCAGTCCTGCATGGTATATACGCTTTCTTTAGTACTCGCTTATAACCCGTCCCTTAGGTCGAATAGTTAAAGTTTTGAAACTATCATAGCGATTCGAGATGCCCGCATGATGTTTT